TTGGTGTTATACAGAAACTTTTTTTTTTCTTGGCGCGACAGCGCATAGCAATCCCTGGACATCTCGATATCATGGAGCCGAGATGCGCATGCGGAATTTTTTTTTTTTTCGAGTACCATGGTTTTCGCACTGCTGCGCCTTTCGTAGGGGGTGCATAGTACCTTAGTTGCGGCGAGCCTGTCGATGCAGCGCCATTGCTGGGGTTCAGAGAGGAGATGCCAGGCAGTTGCGGAAGGGTCGCGGAGGCGGAAGTCGACGTCGAGCTCGGTCTAGAGATGGGTTCTAGAGTCGGAGGGGGGAGTATCTGCGGTCCATCCTCCATCGCTGGATTCCTGTCGGATCAGTCGTCAAGTGGTGGGGTTGGTGATGGAATAGCTCTGTCAGGGGCGCAGGGAGACGCGATCGTGTGTCGAGAGGATATGCAATCGTCAGGCAATTGTAGTCGATTTGGTGAAAGCCGGGTACGCGACTCGATCAAAAGGTTGGACGAAGAAAATTAATGCGTGACGTGAACGACAAGTTGAGGAAGGGGTATTCGAATAATTTTCAACCGCGGAAAACGAGTGACGAATCAGAGATGGCGGCGCACGGTAGCTGTGTCACCTTGCACTAAGGTAGCACTTTTGGGAAAGACCGAATCGCAAGCGGCAGCTGTCTCGCCGAACTCTGGCGATGCGATGCGATGGGAGTGGGCGATTGGTACGGATACAAAATCTCAGATAAAAGGAGGTCGGGGGGAGTGAGATATACTATTATTACTCGACAAGATTAAAGATTCGCGATGCGAATTAATTTTGGCTTGGCCCCTAATGACTAAGAAGAAGCTGGGCGACGGCATGCACTGTGTTGTTGTACGGCTTATGCAAGAAAAAAGAAAGGAAAAAAAAAAGTACCTGCCTTCTTCCCATTGGGGGACCCAGCATACCAGAATAGCGTGGTTCTAATTGGTCATGAGAGCATCTCACAATTTCTTCATCTTAGGTACCAGGACATAACGTTAGTAGTACCTACGGATCTGCCTGAATATCGTGCACTGCCTCGTCTATCTTCGCAAATATTATTGGTTATCTCGGTGGTCTTTTACGGGTTCTTATTGTCCTTTGGTTTGAAAAGGTACATGTAGGAAAGAAGGTCATGTCATGCTGATGCACAGCCACATGTGCCCCATTGTTCGCATCCTGCCTGTCAGGCGGTGCTAGCCACATCCCAGGTCCCAGGTGCCAGCGTCATTGGCGGCAGTTGCCCCTCCACCGCTCAAACCCCTCCTCCAGCGGTGAGGTCAAGCTTCTTAGTGCACCCGAGCTGCTGACTACGCCTACCTCGCCTCCTGAGGTACTGGCTGCCTTATCCAACTGGGCTATTCGTCTTCCGCCTGGGCCGATCCTCAAAGAAGTTACAAAACCAGCCTGCCGTCGCCTATCTCATCATCCACCTCGTAGCCCGTACTTGTCCTATCCCGCTCCTTTTTTTCTCTTATCCTCCCCGAACAAGCAAGCCACGACCTCGTCGCAAATATGTTCAATTGGGCCAAGCAGCAGTGAGTGAGACCTGCTTCCCTCCTTTAGGCCTTACTGTCTTGCCCGCCCTTGTACCTCCGTACTGGCTGGCTGGCCAAGGAACCGTGGCTGACATTTCGCAAGGCTTGCCAATGTGGCCGGCACCCAGGAGCCTATCTATGGCCCGTCGGCCATCAAGTCGGTTGCCGAAGAGGCCAAGAACAAGCCTTACACCGAAGTTACCCGCGACCACCTCAAGTGGCAGCAGATTGACAGCACCTGCGTCGAGTCAGAGGTCTTCTACTTCTTCTCGGAGAGCGGCCAAGTCGCCCTCTGCCAGATCATTTACAGCAATGTGGCGTACGTCATCTCCCAGCCTCATGCAAGCCCTTTTCCATGGGTGCTAATCCCTCTTCAGTGGCATCCGCATCACTTCTCAGTTCAACACCAAGGTGTTCTCGCGCAATGCCTCCGAACCTCACCTGTGGTGCTCCACCCCCCTCAACAACTTCGAGGTTAGCGAGGACAAGAACTCCTTCTACGCTGATGACCTCGCTGTCGAGCTGGCGGCAGATGGCAACTCGTACTCGATCAAGAGCATGAACGACCAGCGGGCCATTGTCAACCTCAAGATCACCAAGACGTCTCCGGGCTTCACGGCCGGCGAGACGGGCAAGTCTCTCTTCGGAACCGACCTGTCCAAGCCGTGGGGTACCATGCAGCATGCCTTCTGGCCCCGATGCGCCGCGGAGGGCACCATCACCACCAAGGACGGCCCCATCGACTTCAAGGGCCAGGCCCTGTTCATCTATGCTCTCCAGGGCATGAAGCCGCACCACGCCGCTGCTCAGTGGAACTTTATCGACTTCCAGGGCCCCACGCATTCGGCCATCATGATGGAGTTCACGACCCCTCCGTCGTACGGAAGCACCGTTGTCAACGTCGGCTGCATCGCCAAGGATGGCCAGATCATCAGCGCCGGTGTCACCAACACAGCTGCCCACACGCAGACCAGGCAGGACGAGCAGACCAAGTGGCCTGAGCCCACGGCCGTCAAGTTCAACTGGACGGGCAAGAGCAAGGATGATAAGGCAGTCGACGCTGTCATCGAGGGGCCGCTGGGTGAGAGGGTTGACAGAGTTGACGTCATGGCCGAGGTCCCCGGCTTTGTCAAGTCGGTTGTGGCTGGAGCCGTCGGCACCAAGCCCTACATCTACCAGGTAAGTTCACAGTTATCACCATGGCGCGCTATGCCTCTAACTTTACTGTCCTAGTACGTCTTCAAGCCGACACTCAAGCTCAAGGTCGGAGACGAGGAGGTCTCGGAGGAGGGCCAGCTTTTCATGGAGGCAACCTTCATCACCGAATGATTTCTGAAGAAGTGAACTCGGCAATGGCATTGGGTACCTTTACTGGTCCAGTTGACCAGAAGACATCAGGATAGGCGTTGGTAATGAATGGCCTGGTTCGTTTGGGCCCGATAGGGTAAACATAATACACACCTGGGATGACATGCAAGTACAAGCACGAGTGCCCAAACGTTCAAGTCGCATGGAGATGCCATTGTATTGTGGCTGAGCAACGCCCAGCCTTGAGTGAGGAGAAATTTATCTATAAACCGTTCTGTCCATGTACCCGCCTATTCTATGTGGTATGTCCTGTCATCCGCCCGTGCACCCATATCGTATATAATCGTACAATGCATCTAGAGCGTCAATCCTGCTTGCCCTCCTTCCCGCCATCCGTCTTGGCCTTGTCGCCACCGCTCCGCGGCGGCTTATCCTTCTTCAACGACTGCTCCACCTGCCAGACAGCGCGCTCCAGCTCAATGTGCAGCGCGGGGATGTCGAGTTGGCGAGCGAGGCCGGGAATGTGCTTCTCCGTGATGAGCATCCTCTCGGGGCCGTCGGTTTCGAGCTCCGCGACGCTGCTCTTGTTGGTGTATGCGGCGTCGAGGCTCTTGGAGGGCGATTGCAGGACGAGGTTGTTGTCGAGCAGCCACCGGATGTGCTTCCCGCCGGAGATGGCTCGCCAATGCGACCAGGCTCGGTACACCAGGTAGAAGAAGGGGATGTTAGGGACGCTGTCGCAGGAAGACGTTAGTTGGCGTATACATGGACGACCACAAAAGGGCCATGGGGATTGGAGATTACTCACACTGGCACCAGCGCAAAGGGGGCGCTGATGGGCATGCCAATGATGCACCATATCATGCGCTGCCTGTGAAAGGAGTGGCGCTCGGTGCCCAAGGTGCGCAGGACGGCCTCAGCCCTGTGCGCGCCGATGACCGAGGGCGGGTAGACGAGCTCGACCTTGGCCTTGGCCTTGGTACCGGCGCCGCTGCCCAGGACCTCGGCGATGCGGCGCTTGGACAGCGGGGGGACCGACTTGAGCCCCCATTCCTCGTAGGGGATGCGGCGCAGGGCAGCGTTGCCGTACGAGACGACGTGCTTCTGCCAGCCCTTGTCGCGCGTCTCCCACTCCTCCCACTTGCGGGCGGCCCAGCCGGCTGCGCGGTCCACGTAGCTCTCGTTGCGGGCGGCGTTGGCGCCCACGCGGTGTGCGTACAGCAGCGTGCGCCGCGTCGAGATTGGGAGGAGGTAGAGCCGCATGGTTGTGGCTGAGGAGGAGGACGAGGAGAGGAGGAGGCGAGGCCAGGCGGTTCGTATATATAAGCTTGCGAAACGGCGGCAGATCGGTCTTGCTGGGGGAATTCTCGGTGGGAGGTCAGAGAGGAGGCGCAGCTCGGCTGCTGGGGGTCTAGAGGACCATGGTCAGGACGTGATGCAATGTGTAATGGGATTAGAGCTAGAGGGCAGTGTCGGGTTTATTTTTTTCTTGTTGTTTTGTTGGGGGGGAGGGGAGGCAAAGAGGAGGAGCGTGGGATGGATGTCGTTAGTGCTGGGATCCCGAGGTCTGAAGCGCTCGTGAGCTCAGCCTCTCGCTCTCTCCACAGAGGCAACAAGACGTACGCATAAACCAAGCTTGGTACTTAGTGTGCCCGCTACCAAATCATGCGCCCTTGGGTGGTACTAGAGGATGACTCTCAGCGGGTTATTATGAGAATGAAAATGCAATAATAATAAAATGGTCGGGCTGTGATTCTGTTGCTGGGCTTGGGAAGCGCCTTTTTGCCCTCGATGGCTCGAATTTGGGCCATGATGTAAGTACTTACGCATAGGAAGGCGTCGATCCTTGCTCCTGCTAGCGTCATGGGGAAAAAACACTGGACAGCCACTTCTTAGCCACACGTGGGCCAATTGGCTCGCTGCGCTGCCTTGTTTGCTTGTCTTGCTTGCGCATGTGTGGTCTAGAACTTTGGATGCAATGGTACTGCGCGCTTCCGCACTCCCTCTCCTGAGAACGGCATTCCGTCTCCAGCGTTCCATCAATTGTAGGTAGCTGAATGAACCCGTCAAGCAAAGCAAGTTGAACTGCGCCTGAAAACGCCCCGTCAAACCATCTTGGGCTGTTTCAATCCGCTGCATTAGCATCAAATATCACGGGCGCATGGTTTAGTGGTATAATACTCCCTTAGCATGTTTCGATCAAATCGACTCAGCTAGCTTGGGAGTGGTCCTGGGTTCGATTCCCAGTGTGTCCACATTTTTTGCCGATTGATCTTTTTGCCCTACGTTCTCCTAGGTTGATAGGAGAAACAGTTGAAGAGGGAGGCGGTTGAAGTTGTAACATGGGAAAACTCATGATGTTGTGTCTGGTGTGTCCTCTCGCATCCACCTTGCAAGATAGTGTTTTCATTTGTAAGCTTCTGAATCCTGTAACATTATCAATGCTGATGGCTACCCTATAGAGTGTGAGAAAGATAATAATGAGCTTATTATCTTGGGTTGTTGCTCTCTGTACAGGTAGGATGGTTGTGGAAGGATGTAAGAGAAATATGCATATATCATATTATAGAGTATGTAGGTATAGCTATGTCCACCAAAGCAAACTTCCCGAATCGAACACAGAATGTATCAGGACCAAACCACCAATGCTCCAATCCCCCAACCAGCACTGTACCCATCAAACGAAACATGCTATCAAATGCTTTCTACTTGAGTGCCGGCGCCTGCACAGGGCTCTTGGCTCTATTCGCAGCCCCCTTACCCACAATCTTCTCCGTCCAGTTCCACGACGGGCTTGCGCTCCTCTCCGGCTCCTTTCCCTTGCTCTGCGTGCCAATCTCGCCGTGGTGCTCGCCGTCGCTGTCGTACTCGCTGTCTGCCCAGTCGTGGTCGCTCCACGTCATAGAATCGCACCGCTGCGGGCCCGGCCGCGGAATGCCGTGTGCCGTGGCCGTCTCCCCTTCTTGAGACGTCGGGAGATCCGGTACCTGGTCGCGGGCCTCGAGCGCCTCCTCTTCGCGCTTCACCCTGGCGCTGGCGCTAGCACTGGCATTTCCGCTCTCGGCTCCGCTGGCGTCGTCGTTGCTGGCCTCTCCCTTTGTCTCGCCACCGTCTGCCGTAGGCGGCTGGCCGACATCGAGCGCTCGCTCACCTACACGCTCGTCCTCGTCGCGCCGGCGGGCCACAGCCGCGTCGCTGAAGTGCACATCGACCAGGTGTTTGATGACGGGCCACCCATAGGCATTGGCAAACATTCTGCGCACGATGATGTTGTTGTGAGCGTCGGGCTCGAGCTTGACGAGCACCTTTCGCCACGACAGGTCTCGGTGGTACCCCCGCGCAATCTTCTCTTCGACCCGCAGGCTGGAGCTGTCAACTACTTCATCAGGTCCCTTGTCCGGATGCGGGAACGCCGCATCATCATAGTCCCTAGATGAGTTGGGCGAGTCTTGTGGATGTAGCGAGGCGTGTGCCGACGAGTTGTCGCTGTCGACAGATTTGTGAGAGGACGAGTGAATCCGTGGGAGCGTCTTCCTGCGGATGAGTGGCGTAGATCGCTTCTTCAGAGGAGGCGGTGGCATGTCGGACGGATGGTACACCCGGTCGTGGAAAATGGTTCTGGGCCGTTTCGAGGGATCTAGAAGGTAGGCCACGTCGGGTATCTTTGGGTTAAGCACGTCGCCAGCCGACTCGAAGAAGGTCGTTCTCGGCGGCGCCGTCATGACGCCGAGCGGGTCGTCCTCTAGCTCGTGCCCCGTCGTCACCCTGGGCGACCTTCTCCCATCCTGAGAGCTCTCGGTCGGGGCAAGGCTGGACTCGTCGCCGTTTGTCGTCTGGCTCATGTGGTATATCTTCTGCTGCTTTGGCGATATAGTCGGACCCTTTGGCGGCTCATTGCTCTTGAAGAAATTGAAGAACCCGGACAAAGGACCGCCGCTGGCCGATTCTCCGTCGCCTGTCGGCGGATTGCCATATGGCGAGGTCACGGATCGAATGCTGGCTCTCTCATCTTCCACCACGGCGTTCTGAGGCGGCTGGGGCACCTCGTGTAAGCTGCTACCCGAGGAGGCGGGTCTATAAGCCAGATCATCATCCTCTGGCTGCTTCTGCTGCTGCTGCTGCTGCTGCTGCTTCAGCCGGGGCGACGTCATGCTGGCACCAGTGAGCTCTGCCCAGCCAAATCCTACAACCGTCTCGACGAGACCAGCGTCTCTCCGCGCCTTCTCCACCCGACCCAAGCCCTGCCAGTCGAGAAACAAGAGGCAGCTTGTGCGGAGAGGAACGATGCCATCATTGACGACGTTGGAGTAGACGGTCCGGTTGCGGAACTTCTTCAGAGCCGTATGCGCAGGACCCGTGGGCAGAATCCGGAGCAGGGGTTTAGATTCCGGCTGTGTTTCGCCATAGACCCTCTTGTGTGCTGCTTCGCCCAGGTTGCTAACAAGGGCGCCCCATCCGCTTCGAGCTATCGTTGGTGCTCGCCAGGTCAGGCCGAGGTCCTGACCCGTCCTCCCCACGAGCCCAAAGTCTAGGGCGAACTTCACGTACAGCGGGTTCTCGTTGCTAAGTCCTAGGTAGGGCGTTGCCAGTGCGATGAAGTTGATGGGCTTGATGAGGTCGAAAAACTGAGGAGAATGCTTCTGAATGTATGCTATGGCGTAGGTCTGAACCAGACCGCCCAGGGAGTGTGCGATAAAACTGATGCTCGTGATCTTGTACGCACGCAGATGATGATGATGGCTATTGGATGCAAGTTTGCGGTTTTCGACAATGTCGCTGTGCTTGTGCGCTGGGCGCATGTCATGCTCCTGAGCGCCCCCGAGCAGGCTGTGGTGATTCAATCCCTCGCCAGCACCTTTCCCTACCGGCATATACGGCTGGTCTGGGTACGTCATGGAGAGAACATAGCGTGCCAACCTTTTGCCGAGGTACTTGATGCCCTTCTCGGTCTTGGTGGCGTTGCCTGAATACCCACGAACAATGACTTCCTCGTCGTCTTCGTTATCGTCTTCGTTGTCATCATTGTCGTGCGGGACAGTCTGCTCAAGGCGGGGATTTTGCTCCGATGTTGCTTTGGCTGTCTCAGACTCTTTCTCTTCTTCTTCCCCAGTTCCCGGACTCGCCGGTGTGTCTTGCTGCTTCCTCTCCCGTCTTGCAGCTCTCTCCTTGGCTCTCCTGGTCTTGGCATCGATCTTGGCCTGTCTCACCGCAGCGTCGATGCTCTCCTTCATGTAGAGCATATCTGCTCCTAGGTTGCTGTGTAGTCCGTGGGTCAAGACGACCAGATGAACCTTCTTCGGTTTCCGGGGCACATCGCCTTCCTCTGCTTGCTGCTTGGCGTGGTTGCCCTCGTCGACACTCTCGACAGGCTCATCGGCACCGGAGCGTGCCTTGACTCTAGATGAACCAGCCTCATCCCAACCTGGAAGTGCGGGTGTGTTCCACAAGGATGCCGTGTCCTCCACCTTGACGTGCACGGCTCGAGAGAAGACCCCCTTCTGCTGCGCTGGGTGGTGCCCATCATGCGCGCCGACGCTCTGCTGAAGGTCGCTGACCTTGCCGGGCTGGGGAACCTGAGCCTGCCCACCCACCACGGGAAGCGAATGGCTCAAGCTCAGCGACTTCTTTTCTCGTGCTACAATGACCTCGTAGCCAACCGCGGCAGACGTGGAGAATATTACCTGGGACGAGACTTCGATGATCCAACTCGCCGACTCGGACTCATGGTGCTCGGTGTTGTTATTGGTGCCCGTCTGAAATCTCGTGCCCGCAACCTGCCGCGTGTGCTCCGGAACAACAAGCTCGCACTCCCAGGAACCGCCCGCCTTGACCATGGGCTCGAACTCGGGGATGCCATAGGTTCTAGCATGGTGGAACTTGTGGTTGGGATCGTAGTTGGAGGGATACGCGGCGACGGAGAGAGTGTAAGGGCCGTGGACGAAAGCGGCGCGGAGGGCAACGGCCGACGTATTTCGAAGTCGAACGTAGAGCTTCTCGGGGGGCGGCAGGATGCGGTCCTGCGAGGGCGTGTAGGTGACGGTGTATCGAACCACCTCGCCGATCTTGAGGCTGCCGACCTGGTGCAGGAGCAGCATGTCGGGCACTTCAACCTAGCGTGCGGCTTCAGACGAATGGAATATTGCCGCCAGCCAGGGGCAAAGGGCAGGGTGGCTTGTGGAAGCTATGGATGGTGTGGGTTGGTGTCGTCGACGACCATTTTCCTTCCTATTGTGCCCCTCGTGATCAAACAGCGATAGACGCACGAGTGAAAGCAGGGACGGGGGAAAAAAAGAGCAAAAAAGGGAGTGTTGCAAGGAACAAGGTCTTTTGCCGGATCACTTGGCCACGATCCAAGCAAACGACAAAATGGGGGGCGGTGACTGCTTGTGATTATAAGATGGGCGCGATTCTGGTGGTCCAGGTGAAGCCTGGTGGCGGTCGGCCGGTTGGGTCGGGTCAGCTGTACGATGACGGAAGGCGTAATTAATGCTACGCTGCCCTACTACTGCTGCGCCTGAAGGTGAACGAGGCTGCAGGTACCCTCCTAATCCGTTTCTTAGGCGGAGCCTGGGCAACTGGGCTATCGCTGTTTGCGCCTGGACCCCTGCTTACGTTATTACATACATACCACTGCCCGACGTCTTTGGATCACATTCCAAGCTCTTCATATTATCAACAAGAAATCGTAGTGTTGACCTTTCTCAGCGGCACACCCGATGCATGCGAAATGAGGGGAGTAAGTGTCATCAGTCATTTGTTGTTGATACGTATGATGCAAGCAACCAAGAACTACATCCAAAAGATAAAGACCAGCATCGCGGACGCAACAAGCGGCAGAAGGGCAACCCAGCATCAAGCCCAAAGTCATCCCCGACATCTACACCAAAGCCGTCAATCGTCGTCATGGTCATTGTCATTGTCATGGTCATGGTCATGGTCATGGTCATGTCGTAGCCCTCATCAAGACCGTAGCGTCGTCATGTCGTCCTCCGGAAACCCCGGCTCGACAAAGTTCCTCCACTCGCTCACCCTGTCCATGCCGCGCCCGGCTCCCGTGAGCCCTGCCAGCGACGACGACGGGGGCAGATCCTCCTCCAACTCCTCCCGGAACTCCTCCCGGTAGTTCTCTCGGGTCAGCGTCTTTCTTCTGCTTCGCGGTGCGTGCATGTCGAAATCGTCTTCGTAGTGCCGAGGGTGTCTACCTCCCATGACACGCTCCGACCTAGGCGTGCTGTGCGGGCTGCCATACATGTCT